GAAAGCCAACATCGGGAAGGGACTAACAATCACAACTTTGTTATTTCCGTTTCGTATTGGGGAGGTGGATTCCTTAGTGTCTTCAGATTAGTGCTGAGAGAGAGTACACGCACCTTCAGAGGATCATGGTCTGTTCCTTTCTCATTTTCCACAGTTCATCATTCACAGCCAATAATGTTATAAAACTGCGTTTATTCCCACAAAAACTGAATTTCTTTCCAGAGAAGTTCATTTCTACAGGTAGCAATTTCTATTGCAAAATTTTCGTCCAACACATTCGTTACGTAAGAACAATGTTGAAAAATCACTACATGTTTCCACAACTGCCATCTTCAGGTGTTCATATTTTTTCAACCAAAGACGATGCAACAGAAGCACAAAACCTATATATATATATATATATATATAAAAACAAATGTTATATCACACTGAGTGTTTAAATATAATAGCTGGTTAGTTACCGAATTAAGGGGGTTGTGTGCGGTAGTTCACAAACACATAACTCAATAACTGGTTAACGCCTATGCGAAGGCAATACAATAAATAGGACAAATATAAGTTAAGTACCCCCAGGGTGCTTCTTCACCTAAGCCCGGCTTTGGAAGTTACTACGTGCAAAGGGGAACACCAACGGCTTGTAATCTTACGCTAAGTATACCGGTAAGCCCATAAGACATACACCTGTAATTACGCTCCAGCATGGTAAAGGATAAGTGAATATAAAATTATTTTGTGATCCAGAGCGGATGATGGTGATGATGGTACAGACCGGAGTACTGAACAATCCTTAAAACGTCCCACCGATTCAATTCATCATCACCACCAGCAGTAACACAATGACATCCTCCCCTCCTCATCACCACCCTCGATGAGTCAATTCTCTGTTGCTCTCGACAGATGGTCAAGTAATGACGTCATCTTTAGCAACCCTCAATTCATCCTACATCTCCCCTTATATTAGATAATACTCATACAACTGAGCGAAAAGATTGACATCGGAAACAATATAATTCCTCAACAAATTCAATATGTGGTCCATAAAAAGGCCACCAGATTTGCCTTCCTAAAAGGAGGATGCTTGAGTATCTGATCATACCAGAGAGACAGAATACGCAAGAACACAAAGTGATACACACATATTTCGAAGACTTACAAAATAAGAACGTGCAAATGTGCCACTGAGGTGGCATTAACTCTTTAAAAACTGGTGGTAAATATCTGTACCATCTGCTTTAACATTCACCAACACAGAATTTTGCTCACAGGATGTATATATTAGTTTCATATGACTTTCAGAATAAACAGCAATTCTGTCCCTAAACAGCATTAACCAACTGATCTTTGTAATGGAGATGTGTTGTGTTTTCTTTGCGGTAGGAACGAAATGTTTATACGTTGATTACTGAATAATGAAATAGATAATATGTAGAAGGAAAAGGTCGTAGCCTAATTTAAACTGATTGGAGCAAATGAGGAAAACCACTTGACCTACGGAGATAATAATTGAGGAAGTAAACATATATTATACTACACGGCCCTACATCACAGAAGGAAACCATCTTCACAGTCGTCACCGTGAGAACCTGAAATCTCCCGACTTCAAACTGCAGAAGGAAACGACGTTATAAAAATGTAATTTTGCTGTTATATCACACTGAGTGTTTAAATATAATAGCTGGTTAGTTACCGAATTAAGGGGGTTGTGTGCGGTAGTTCACAAACACATAACTCAATAACTGGTTAACGCCTATGCGAAGGCAATACAATAAATAGGACAAATATAAGTTAAGTACCCCCAGGGTGCTTCTTCACCTAAGCCCGGCTTTGGAAGTTACTACGTGCAAAGGGGAACACCAACGGCTTGTAATCTTACGCTAAGTATACCGGTAAGCCCATAAGACATACACCTGTAATTACGCTCCAGCATGGTAAAGGATAAGTGAATATAAAATTATTTTGTGATCCAGAGCGGATGATGGTGATGATGGTACAGACCGGAGTACTGAACAATCCTTAAAACGTCCCACCGATTCAATTCATCATCACCACCAGCAGTAACACAATGACATCCTCCCCTCCTCATCACCACCCTCGATGAGTCAATTCTCTGTTGCTCTCGACAGATGGTCAAGTAATGACGTCATCTTTAGCAACCCTCAATTCATCCTACATCTCCCCTTATATTAGATAATACTCATACAACTGAGCGAAAAGATTGACATCGGAAACAATATAATTCCTCAACAAATTCAATATGTGGTCCATAAAAAGGCCACCAGATTTGCCTTCCTAAAAGGAGGATGCTTGAGTATCTGATCATACCAGAGAGACAGAATACGCAAGAACACAAAGTGATACACACATATTTCGAAGACTTACAAAATAAGAACGTGCAAATGTGCCACTGAGGTGGCATTAACTCTTTAAAAACTGGTGGTAAATATCTGTACCATCTGCTTTAACATTCACCAACACAGAATTTTGCTCACAGGATGTATATATTAGTTTCATATGACTTTCAGAATAAACAGCAATTCTGTCCCTAAACAGCATTAACCAACTGATCTTTGTAATGGAGATGTGTTGTGTTTTCTTTGCGGTAGGAACGAAATGTTTATACGTTGATTACTGAATAATGAAATAGATAATATGTAGAAGGAAAAGGTCGTAGCCTAATTTAAACTGATTGGAGCAAATGAGGAAAACCACTTGACCTACGGAGATAATAATTGAGGAAGTAAACATATATTATACTACACGGCCCTACATCACAGAAGGAAACCATCTTCACAGTCGTCACCGTGAGAACCTGAAATCTCCCGACTTCAAACTGCAGAAGGAAACGACGTTATAAAAATGTAATTTTGCCATCAGACATTAATAAAAAGGAATAAATTATTTAGAATGTTTACGTAATTTATGGCAGCTATACCATTGCTTGAAATTACAATTTAATAAAATGTAATATAATAGCCTATTTGACTTCAAAGCATGATGCAATGGTTATAAATATTTAGGAAAGAACAATGAAGAAGAGTTTATTTTTGTAAGAGGGGGGAGTCTGACATGAAATCAATATAACGTGCAGCTTAAAAGCCCAGTGCGATCATAGGACTGTGAAAAGAAACTTTCTCTCTTTGTAGGGAATAGCCTTGTCAAAGAACATTAAATAGTAGCTCAAGGATAATGAGACTTTCGTCTGATGTGTAGATCTTTATTCAAAAGGTCCGCTAGTCAAAATAATTCTTTGTACAGTTCCCTTATTCAGTATTTCAGACCATGTCATCAGACTACAGTACAAAATATCGGTCTTCTGTCAAGTTCATGTCAGTAGCAGCTATTTTAAGATCTTACACTTACAACAAAAAATTTTCAAACATTTGAATGTAGAAAATATCTACAGTGCTCGCTTTTCGAACGGATTCCCTCTATAATAAACTGTATTCAGATACAGTAATTGTTTATCCCGATTTATTAAGACAATTGTATAGGTATTTATACACATGGGTATTAGTGCTGACACTAAAGTACAATTAAACAGCTACGTGTCTCTGGCACTACGGATGTAACGTCACACTCAAAAGTCCTTCTCAGTGCCTTTGACTAGACGTACGTGTGTCAATCTGTTAATGCATTTTCATCCCTTTGAAAGCCGTAGGTCGTCTAAATAATATTTAAGATTTCAGTCCGTGCAGCAATGAAGACACGTTACCATTACAAAGATCAAATAGATAACGCTATTTAAGGAAAGACACGCTGTTTATGTTAGGAATCACAGGAAATACATAAATACAAAATAAAGAGTTGTTGATTGTTATAGTTAGTTATCCCTGGGTTCCAAAGGGCTAATCTCTCTTGACAGTGAGAACCGTAGGACATCCATTAATACCAAACGCAGAGTTATTGATTGTTAAAGCAGATGTTACATCTAGCCTACTTATCATTGGGCTTTAAGGGGTTAATTAATTGTACCTATTTGAAAGTTGGTGTCTTCGACGTGAGGGATGGACAGAGACAGGGTATTTCAGAACAGGGTGCTAAGGACAATATTTGGACAAAGAATAGAGGACGGAGAAAAGTGCATATGAGGGGGGCTTTATAATTTATACAATTGTGCAGATATTATTTTCGTGAAAAATTTAAGGAAAATGAGATGGGTGGAATATGTAGGGATATGAGAAATGCATGCAGAATTTTTATGGGAATAATAAGAAAGAAAGAAACGGCTTGCAAGGGCCAGACGTTGATGGGAGGATGATGTTGAAACGAATTTTAAAGATGCAGAGAGTGAACAGTGTGGACTGAATTAATTTGAATCGGTACAGGAAACAATGGTTGGCTTCTGTGAACACGGTAATGAAATACAGGTAATTTATGTACTAGCTGAATGACTATTATCTTCTTAAGAAGGACTCTGCTCCATAGAGTAAATTACCAATAAATCTATAACTGTAAAACAAACATCTACATAGACCAGACCTAAATTTTGGCAATTTTTATGCTGTAGCTCATAGGACCTGCCTCAAACAAATTAAGATGTACTGAGGGAAGATAGTTATAATTTTTTTTTATTATTATTTCGATCCACGACAGGGGCAGAAAATTGTTCCTCTAGCCTCTGCGTCTAGACCGGCTCTGGGATCCATCCAGCCTCCTATCTAATGGGTACCGGGGTCCTATCCCAAGGGTAAAGCGCGGACGGGACGTGATGCTGACCACTCACCCCCTATCTACAGCCAGCTTAAAAATGAGTAGAAGCTATACCTCATTTCCCCCTAAGCGCCTACATGGCATATGGCAGGACAGCTTTTTTATGGTAATGTTTATCTATTCAGTAAGTTACTAAACCATTCGTAGGCTGTTATCGCGTTCGAAACTGATTATAAAACAATCTGTTGCTTCACTGAATAGTTCGTGGTCCACTTCAATGCCTCTGTATTATTCCCAAGCGAACGCTCTGTCGTTCCAATAAACAAGTTCATTCGGCCTAAGTAGTTGAATGTTACATGGTATATTGTAACACTCGTGGGACAACACATCTTCACAGCAAGAATCGAAAGAGGGGGCTACCAGACCCTCCTGCAGAACACATGTTACGCGTATGTTAGGTAAGTCATCTGTAAAGTGCAGGGAAATAGCACATAAACTTCGCTTCACAGCGTGGCAATCAGAAGGTAAGCGGTTAAAACCGTCTCACGTCAACACATCGAGTATATGAATACCAGCAATTGTATAGGCAGACCACCAAGTGTGCTAACTTACAATTTTCCTATCCATCGCCATCGTAGATTAAACAAACCAACTTTCGATGGCTTGCCTGGAATTAATAATTTACACCTGAGCAAGGCAAAAAGTATGGCACTGATGACGGATTGAGTTAACAAAATGTCCTGTATAAAAATAGTTAAATAGTACATAATGCACTTCACATTCGAATAATACTATCCAGTGAGTGGTAAATCACTGCCGGTTCAACTGCTAATGGGCTCAGAATCACGAGGAGACTGAAACCCTTTCTGTTAGGTTAAGCTAGTGCAAGGCCGAACAGATAGGGTAATTATCCTGCCCTTTTTTTGCCTGAAGACGGAAGCAGAATCCAGCTTCGTAAACGTTGTGATTTTATTTATAATTTAGACGATGTGCAAAGTCTAAGAAAACAATTTTACAGCGAACTACGACTTTCTCAGAAACAGAACCTCGTACAGAATATTTTTACAGGGCATAAGATATGAAACTAATTAAGGCCTACGCATTTTATTCGAAATATTTTTCAGTACCGTAAATAATATAACACAAAGAGAGATAATTTATGACTGTGCAGCGTTAAAAGCTTTGAGACAGTCAGTCACTGTTAAAACATGAACTGAATTATACTTTTGCCTTCCAGGTTTTACGTATGGTACAATCAATACTCGCTAATCAAACCAAATTCATGCGGAATGTTGGCCAATGGCAAAATTTTAATTGACTTCCAACGCCTCAATGAGTTTATATTATTTAGGTTTTAAGTGTGGTATTCCCTACATAATTCAATTGATTTCCTAAAGCTTCCGTCTGCAACAAATAAACTTGAAGACCAACGAAGTGTGCAAAGAATGTATTTTGAAAAAGTGTGTACTTCATATTGGAGTACACGTTTCCAATCTTTATTTCATTCGCCATAAATATAGATAATTGCTTAAAATCACCCATATACCACTCTACTGACGACAAGTGCCTTTATGTTAAAATACCGTGTCATTTCCAATATTCTTTATCCGCCACTGCTCTAATGACACTCCCATAAGTTTCTTCTTTACTGCAACTTAGGCTTATTTCAGGGACTTTGCTCTTTACCACAGGAAACTTACAGAGCAGTAAATTTGACAGTCTGAATTTACTTGATTTGTCGAATGTCTACCACATTTAAAAAATCAGAACTAAAGCAAACTATAAATGCTGAAACCGATGTCCTTATTCATATTAGAGTAATATCAAATAATTAAATTCTCCCCCTTTTTTTATAAATTTCTGTAATTTAATGGAAATGAAGTCGATATGCGATGGGGAGACTGGCTAATTACGCGAGGGAGGTTTCGCTATTTGTATCAGTCAACAGTTGTTTAAAATAAGCCGCGGGTCAATGAATCTATGTACGAACGCATTGTTAAACACATTCACAATTCATGAGGTCTGTTCTGTTCTGCATTTTCTAATAAAGCAGACAGCGGTCCCTCAGTAGTAGCAAAACAATATGAGCAGTAGACAATACAAAGGAAGGCAGAAACGAATGAATACCTCTGCTATGGAGCAGAGAATATAAATAGGCGATATCTGTATCAGGGTCCAAAATCCTGTTGCATCGCCACAGCAGTAGAGAATAGGTAAAACCGAACGTCGTATTCAGAAGGTCCTGGGTTCATTCTCAGTCCGCAGGTCAGATAACCTGACTGAGAATTTTCGTAATGTTTCTTTGTGTCTTATGCAAAAGCTGACATTGTAGTCTTCCTTGAAATAGGTCACGGCTTATTC